GAAGAAGGGTCCAGACCTGAAACGTCAGCTTTCCTGTTCCTCTGATGCTGCCTGGCCTGCTGTGTTTCTCCAGCTCCACACCTTGTTATCTCAGACTCCATCATCGGCAGTTCCTACTACCTCTCAGTTGATCATGACATTGTTTGCTTCCACATTTTTCCATGTCAGAGCAACCACTACCAAGTTGTATTTTCTTGTTACATGAATATTGTTTAAGTTGTCTGGCTGTAGCATTGAAGTTAAATAAAGCAGTCTGAGATTTGTATTGTGGAATTGTGTGCAGGAACGTTAACGGATGGTAAAATCCCATATAAATACTAGTCAGTACAGATTTATGGAACATGTAGCATTCAAACTGTTGGACAGCCAACATCGGGCTCAGTGCCTCTTTCTTCATTGAAAAATATTTCCATTGCCATGTATTTAGTTTTCATGAAAAATAACTAACTGGCTGTTTGATACCCATGTCATCCTATTGTAAAACACTGCACCAACACTGACATCATTGACAAAACAGCCAGTTTAAACGGCTTCTCATATTTTAGTGTTGCTAAAACTGGTGCAACAGCTAGAACAATGTTTATATTGGCAATGGCATTTTGACATTCAAAATTCTTGCTTTGTTTCAACAATCTTGGCAAAGGAACCACAACAATGGTGACATTTGGAACAAACTTGATAAAACCTGCTCATGCCAATATATTGCACAGTTTCACATTTGGTCTTATGTACAAGCTGGGGAACTGTCAGAACAGCAGGGAACATTTTACCATGGAAAGGAAGAACACAAACACTGCAGATACTGGAAACCCGAGGTAAAGGCAGAAAATACTGGAAGCTCTCAACAAGTCAGTAAGTAGTATAGACACAACGGACAAATTAATGATTCAGGAAAGACAAAGTCACAATGGGTGCAGGCCACCTCAAAAATACAAGTTCATCGCAAGTCCCACTCCCAGCCATGTCTCCAGAATTACTGCAATGTCCATCAATTTAACCCCATCTGTAATTCTTTAGTCAGTCATAGATGGTTCAGAATGCTTGAAGAATGCTCTCTTTCCTGATAGAATATATCTCGTCCATTCTGGGACCTCAACTTTTCACAATACTTACTAATGACTTGGATGAACAAATAGAGAACAATATAGCTGGGTTTGGAGATGGCATTAAATTGGCAGCCACAGTAAGTCATGACGAAGGATGCAAGAAGCTTCAAAGCAATTTGGAAAGATAAAGTTATAAAAACAAAAATTGTTGGAAACACTCGGCATTCAAGCAGTGTCTGGGAGTTAATATTTATGTTTGGTGACCACTAATAAATAATTGATTCAGTCATGATGGCTCAGAGGGATCTATTATTTATTTTGTGCGCACAATACACAAAGCTTTATTTGTGACAAAATTGGAGTATGACAGTAAAGTAGCAATGTGTCACAGTTTCCCCTTACCACCCCGAGCTTAATTGCAAGTCTCTTCAGACTCTGGTTTGTCTGTCACTGACAGACACTCTTTCTTCATTCCCATGCAGTCTTCAGCTTGACTGACTGATATTCTCATGTCCCCTTGAAGAGTATTTTGAAGAGGTGACAAAGGTGGCAGACAAAGGTCAGTCGATGGATGTTGTTTATATGGACTTCCTGAAAGCTTTTGATAAAGTCCCACACAAGAGACTGTTAGCTAAGATGGAAGCCCATGGAATTGAGTGTAAATTACTGACATGGAAAGGAAATTGGTTGCGTGGCAGGAAACAGAGAGTTGGAATAATGGGTAAGTACACAAACTGGCAAGATGTGATGTCCCACAGGGATCTGTGGAGGGGGCTCAATTATTTACAGTACTCATTAACAACTTGGATAATGGAATAAAAAAGTCAAATATCCAAATATGCTGACAAATTGGGTGGTATTGTAGTCAGTGTTGATGACAGGATATTGATAGATTCGATGATTGGGCAAAGCTGTGGTAGATGGATCCTAATAGAAGCAAGTGTGAGGTAATCCATGCCAGACTGTGTACTTTATAAGGTTCAAAGTTAAATACAATAGATGCCCAACATAGCTTTTTAAAATATGATGAACAGACGCTGAAAATAGTCAAGAAAGCTAATGGAATGCTGGCCTTCATCTCTAAAGGGCTCGAGTATAGGGGTGCTGACATTAAGCTGCAGTTAGACCAAACCCTTGTTAGACCCCATTTGGAGTACTGTGAGCAGATGTGGGGCACCGCACAGTAGGAAGGATGTTTTAACTCTGAAATGAGTTCAACACAGGCTTACAAGGATGATGTCTGGTATTCAGGGGTTAAGTTATGAGACGAGATTATACAGATCATGCCTTTATTTTCTAGAATTTAGACATTTAGGAGTAATCTAATCGAGCTCTTCAGGATATTAACAGGGAGAGACATGGTAGATAATGATAGATTATTTCCACTGGTTGATGATTCTAGAACTAGGGGACATAGTCTCAGAGTTAGGACCAGACCATTCAGGAGAGATGTTAGAAAGCACTTTTACACACAAAGAGTGGTCGAGGTCAAAGAACAATCAATATGACCAATTGTTCAATTTAAATCTGAGATAGACAATGGGTATCAAGGCGTATGAGCCCAAGGCAGGCATATGGAGTTAGGCCACATATCAGCCATGATCATATTGAATAGTAGAGCAGGCTCAAGGGGCCGAATGGCCGACTCCTGTTCCTATGTTTCCCTGTATCAATTAATGGCAATTGTACCCCGTCAACACTGAATCCAAGAACTGATTGGTTGTTCTAAAATAAAATGAGGTTAAATTATCATGTGATGGATAAAACAGAATTGATATTATTCATTGACATTCATGGAATCATGTTGTGCAGGAGGCCATTTGGCCCATCAAATCCCTTTGAAAGATCTATCCAATTGGTCCCACTTCCTTTCTCCTATTGCCCTGGAAATGGTTCATCTTCAAGCACTTACCCAATTCCTCTTTGGAAGTTACAAAAGATTTTCCTAGACTTTCTGGGTATTTATCAGTGATGTTTTGATATTTTTAGGACTTCTTTGCAACTGTTTTGTTTCAAAATAGGGACAAAACCCTCACCTTCCTGGATTGCAACTGTCCGGGGACAGATCTTCAAGGAGTCTGTGTTTTTACCCCCATCAGCGAGTGAAGAACTGAAGAAGGGATAGAGTTTCTTAGTGAATGTCCCAGTGAAAGTATAAATGTGGGTCTTGTTCTCTGAGTTATAAAAGGACACCTTTCCTCTCTCATAATCCAGACAGACTTGAATCTTTTTCACGTTAACACCAGGCTCTGAGCATTTTGATGATGTGTCACCAGCCCTGTTCTTATTACCATCTTTCAGCTTCACTGACCAGCATCCATTTCCTGGAATTAAGCTGAACATCTCCTTCCTGTTGATGGACTCATTGACTACACCCACTGTCCACTCTGTCTGGTTCCCCACCTCCACCTCCCAGGAATGTTTGCCTGATGTGAATCCCTCCGATACCAGGACATGGACACAACGAACAAATCTCTCTGGATTTCTGGGAAGCTGCTGCTGTTTCCCATTACAACTCACGGTGCTCAGATCCTCAGACGGGAGAAGGTCAGGATGGGCTGTATTAGGGTCCAAGGTGATTGGAACTGGGAACAGACAGACATTGATAAAATGTTAATCACACTCACTGTAACTTTCCCAGCGATTGGGAAAATCAACAATGAACCAAGATTTCCTGGAGAAGAAATTGAGAAAGAACAGAAAGAACAGGGGATAAGGGAAGCCTCAGCTGGGGGAAAGTTTTAACTGATGGGCACACTCTGCAGTGAGGATGGGAAAGCCCTATTGCAGGGGGGTGGAGAGAGGGGTCCCCTGATTAATTTGTGTTCTTCTGTACCAGAACTCCCCTGGATTCTGGGAGAGACAGAGTAAAAATTGAAGTGAGACAGTATTTCCACGAAGGAGTAGGAGATGAGAGTGTGCATGCATGAGAGACAGTGTATGTAAAATAGAGACACAGAATGATGGAAAGTGTGTGAAAAAGATGGTGTCTTAGAGAGAATACATGCATACCTGTGAGACACAGTGTGTGGCAAAGAGAGAGAATGGTGCACAGTGTGTGTATGCAATTAAAAGCGAGATATGGAGTAGACTGTGGAGTGAATTTATCAGCCACCTCAGATCCCATGGAACCAGAGTGGAAGCAAGTCACAAGAACAGAACAAGAAGCCATTCCTGATCCCAGTGAGGCTGGGGGCTAAACGGAGGAAGAATGTACAGTCAGAACCAAACAGAGTGTGTGAGAGAGTCAGTACAAACCGAACTTAGGTGACACATAAAAAATGACGTGTGTGTGTGTGTGTGTGTGTGTGTGTGTGTATGCATGGGTGTGTGTGTGGGTGTATATATGAGCGTGTGGGTGTGTATGTGTGTCTCTGTGTACATGTGTGGGTGTGTCTGTGTAGGCACGTGTGTGGGTGTGTGTTTGTATGGGGGTGTGTGTGTGCCTCTGTGTGCATGTGTGGGTGTCTCTGTGTGCATGTGTGGGTGTGTGCCTGTGTGCGTGTGTGGGTGTGTGTGTATCGGTGTTTGCGTGGGTGTGTGTGTGCGTGTGTGTGTGCGTGTGTGTGTGTGTGTGTGTTGCTTAGTAATGCTCTTGCCCTAATCTACTTTGCTCAATGATTTCCAAAGACAGTGTCGTTCACTAGCATTACAGTACATTTTACGTACAACTATGAAACGTATCAGGGTGATATTTCCATACTTACACAGCTTTGAGGATTGGATCTTACCACTTGGGTTCCTTACTCCAAAATATTCTTGGCAAAACAATTCAGCAGCATACATCTGCAGCTCGCATGGTTCAAAATCAGAATTGAAAGTGGGGGAAATATTCAGCAAGTCTGGCTTCCTGAATGCTCCTAGTCATTTCTGGGAATTTGTGTATCACATTGTATTTGATCGAGAACAACATGAGCCGAGAAAAGGGCCCTGACTATTATAGAAGCACTACCCATACATAGTTGACCAAACACATAATTATTATGTTTACAGAAATTCATCATTGCCGAACGGATATTTGTGCAGACTTCAACATCATGTCAGTCTGGTTTTGGACATGATTAAATGTTGATATCTTGAACCAATGGACTTCCCTCCATCAGAAGGTCAGAAGTGGGAATGTTCACTGATGATTGCACAATGTCCAGCACCATTCCTAACTCCTCAGATACTAAAGAAGTCCATGTTCAAATGCAGCAAGATCTGGACAATATCCAGGCTTGGGCTGAAAAGTGGCAAATAACATTTGTGCCAAACAAATGTCAGGCAACAACCATCTCTAGTAACACACAATCTAACCACTGTGCCTTTACCTCCAGCCAGAAAATCAACTGGATCAGCCATATAAATACAGTGGTCACCATGGCAGATCAGAGGCTAGGAATCCCGCAGCAGGTTAAGTCCCTGGATGCTCAATGACATTATCATCACTGAATCCCTTGTATAAACATCAATTGACGAAAAACGAAATTGGGCCAGCTGTATAAATACAGCGATCACAAGAACAGGTTAGGAATTCTGTGATGAGTAATTTATTTCCTGATTTCTTAAAGTCTGTCCACTATGTACAAGGCACAAGTCAACAGTGTAATGGAATATTCCGCACTTGTCTGAATGAGTGCAGCTCCAACAACACTCAAGAAGCTTGATGCCATCCAGGACAATGCATTTCAGTTGACTGGCAGTACTTTCAACATTCGCTCCCTTTGACACCAATGCTCAGTAACAGCAGTGTATACTATCTAGTAAGATGCACTGCAGAAATTCACCAACTCTGCTTAGACAGTACCTTCCAAACCCATAACTACTTCCATCCAGGGGAGAATAAGGGTGGCAGATGTATAGGAACACCACGATCTCTAAGTTCCCCATCAAACCACTCACCATCCTGCCTGGAAATATATTGCCATTCCTTCACTGTCACCAAAACCTTTTAAGATGTGTTCTTGAATTTTGCAGCCAAAATTTTAAAGTATTTGTCTCATTTGTTACGGTTCTTTCCTGAGTCTAGTAGTAGCTTAAAGTGATTGTTCATATTGAGATAACTAGTTAAATTTTTAAGCATTCAGATGAAGATAAATTATGGACAGAAACATTGTGTTTTGATTGACTTAAGGATCTTTTAGGTGCAAAGAATAAACAAAGAACAAAGAAAATTACAGCACAGGAACAGACCCTTCAGCCCTCCAAGCCTGCACCGAACCAGATCCTCTATCTAAACCTGTTGCCTATTTTCCAAGGATCTGTATCCCTCTGCTCCCTGCCCATTCATGTATCTGTCTGGATACATCTTAAATGCAACTATCGTGCCCGCCTCTACCACCTCCACTGGCAACGCGTTCCAGGCACCCACTACCCTCTGCGTAAAGAACTTTCCACGCATATCTCCCTTAAACTTTTCCCCTCTCACCTTGAAATCATGACCCCTAGTAATGGAGTCCCCCGTTCTGGGAAAAAGCTTCTTGCTATCCACCCTGTCTATACCTCTCATGATTTTGTAGACCTCAATCAGGTCCCCCCTCAACCTCCGTCTTTCTAATGTAAATAATCCTAATCTACTCAAACTCTCTTCATAGCTAGCGCCCTCCATACTAGGCAACATCCTGGTGAACCTCCTCTGCACCCTCTCCAAAGCATCCACATCCTTTTGGTAATGTGGCGACCAGAACTGTACACAGTATTCCAAATGTGGTCGAACCAAAGTCCTATACAACTGTAACATGACCTGCCAACTCTTGTACTCAATACCCTGTCCAATGAATGAAAGCATGCCATATGCCTTCTTCACCACTCTATCGACCTGCGTTGCCACCTTCAGGGTTCAATGGACCTGAACACCCAGATCTCTCTGTCCATCAATTTTCCCCAGGGCTTTTCCATTTACTGTATAGTTTGCTCTTGAATTGGATCTTCCAAAATGCATCACCTCGCATTTGCCTGGATTGAGCTCCATGTGCCATTTCTCCACCCAACTCTCCGATCTATCTATATTCTGCTGCATTCCCCGACAGTCCCCTTCACTATCTGCTACTCCACCAATCTTAGTGTCATCTGCAAACTTGCTAATCAGACCATCTATACCTTCCTCCAGATCATTTATGTATATCACAAACAACAGTGGTCCCAACACGGATCCCTGTAGAACACCACTGGTCACAGTTCTCCATTTTAAGAAACTCCCTTCCACTACAACTCACTGTCTCCTGTTGCCCAGCCAGTTCTCTATCCATCTAGCTAGTACACCCTGGACCCCATGCGACTGCAAGTGTCATGTTCAATCTTGTGGGTCTACCTACAGCACATGGACTGCAGTGCTTCAAGAAGGCAGCTCACCACCACTTTCTCAATGGCAACTAGGAATGTCCATGTCCCACAAGTAAAGGTAAAAAAATGTTTTGTAATCCCTTCCAGTCACTGTCTGAATAATCCAATGGTCAAGCTGTAATTAAATAAACATATTTGGATTTAAAATTCAGTATGTGTGGAAAACAACTGCCCCTTCAGATAACAAGAGACAACATTAATCCAGATATCATATTAGATAAGTAAAGGGAAAAAAAGATTACCAGGTCTGAGGATTGTTTCAGTTTGAATGGAGATGTTGTCAAGAACAATATGATTTCATTGAATGTACTTCTCTTTGATGAAGCATGGATTTGGTCAAATTTAAATGATTCTGTGAAACACATGGTCTAACATTACAATGATACTCAGTCACATCTGGGTTGATATCCTTGACATCGGAAACTAGGATATTAATGCACATGAATACAGTTGAGGTATCATTGTTTATCACTCAGTTAACTTAGTTCAGTGCCCACAGTGGAAGATAAATCATGGGTCAATCTGGTCCCAGCAAATATTACCATCCATAACATTTAATGAGTTTATTTTCAAGCAATTAACTCATTGCTTTAGAAAATAGCTTTCCATCTCTACTTCCTATGTCCCTGGTCTCTAGTATTACTGAAGATGTGGGGCATTGGACATATAAAAGGTTTGATTTCCAAATTTTACCAGTCACTGTTTGATCATGAGCTTTCAGAAAACCAGCCTCCTGTAAAAGTAGCACCTTGTTGCAGTTTTCAAACGTACCTCCATCCTGGCTCTTATATTTTGGACCCACCCACTCTCACCTAAAGCTGATTCCCTACTTGGATGGGAAATAGAATCGGCTATGACTCCTAATATGGAAATCCATAAGACTTCTGGATTTAGGAAGGGGTTAGGGACATATCCATGGGATAGGTAGAAGTTCATAAGATCCCTCATTCCAAAAGTAACTGCTTTGGAAATTCTGGGCCTGGCTCATTATTTGGAAAAATAACTGTGGCGAAAGGAAATGCCTAATGTATTTTCATAGAAAATTGACTGAAATGAAATCTCATCAGTTACAAAGACAATTAAATATTTACTATAAAAAGACAGCTCCCTTCTCCTCAATATCGTAAGAATTGTTGAATAGCTGGTGTCAGGAAACGCACACCCACCTGTATTAATCACTGTCAGTATTTTCTTCCACACTCTGTACTGCAGGGATCCAATGTACTTGCCCACATTTATTAAAGGATAAGCCTTCTGTGGTCCTGGGAGAGTTTGCTTCACTCTGAAACAGTAGATAAAGATCAGTGTTGGATCATTCCAGGGTGAGAGAGGAATAATGAGAGAAAAAAACTCAAATCAAGAGTGTAAAATTATGCCTTTCCTTAGATTCCAGAATTTTCCGTGGAACAAGAAGGGCAATTAATTTTTTGTGGTTAGAAGACATTTTATTATACAGATGTAACAGAATGGGTTGCATAAAAACAGTACATTTTAATTAATTTGCTTGGTTTCCACATATACACTTTATTCCCTTTGGGGGACAGTAGGAAGGATTTGCAGATGGATCATTAACTTAATGAATTGCATCTCGAATGTTCCTTCGATGTCCAAAAAATGCTGTTGTGGAATTGAGTCCAGACCTTTCAACTTAAAGACAGAAGGTGGAATCCCACAAGGACCTGAAAGATGTGGGTATCGTCTGAATATGTGGATGATAAAAGCAATAAGTCCGGCGAGGCCCATTCTGATTTTGACAGCAATGTGCACCATCGTTTTGCTTTGCAAGATGCTGATTGACAGGGAGTAATGCTTGCTAAACACCTTTCTTCATGGCACAACTCATTCATATTCAGTCTCGTATGTGACCAAACACACCAAACAAGCTCAATGTCAGAAGCAAGAGACAACGAAACCTGAACAAGCACTTGGTGGATTTGTCTCACCATTTGTTCTGACATGTGGCACCAACATTTCATGGCACTCTTCATAGGCACCGGCATACTCTACATCCATGGGCATTGGCATCTGACATATGGCAGTCTCTAAGAACCCTCCTGTCATATCTCCGATGCACTTGTATGACGGTTCAATACTCAATGATACACCTCAGGCTGCACTGGTAACTCTCATTGTAATGCTGGAGCAAGGGCACTGTGTATTCAAGGACACACACCCAACTGGACCAGGCTACATTTCCAGGCTTTTTGCTCACTGCCACAATTCTTACTCACTCTTTGCCTACCCTGGATACTCACAACATCCCTCCCTTGTATTCCCTCACCTTGCCCCTTGGTGCAACACCCCTCAGCTAGAGATATCACGCTCATATTACTGCTGTCTTCCCATGCTGCTTAGCCCAGACACGAATCCCAGAAGCTTGTCACAGTTGCCAGCAGGCCTCAGCTAGGTCAAGGGACAATAGCCTTTGGTCAGGTGACCCTGTCACAGAAGGTCAAGTCTGCAATATCAGGCCAAGCCCTGTCCAGGGATGGTTACCATCAGAATTCTCTCCTCATTACGAGTGAGGAGCTGAATGACGGGCAGCCTACCAGCCATCTTAACTCTTTGTCCCCCGCTGTGGGCTGTTTTACCTCTTCAAATGAGAGAGAGGCAGGTATTACAGGAGATGACAGGTATTACTATTGCTCCAGGTAGATGGTGTCCCAAGCAAGTGAGTAGGCAGCACAGTTGGCTTACAGACTTAGTGGCATCGGGGTCTGGGTTGGATGAGGGTGAGTAGGGAAGATGTTGCAGGCAATAGTGAGAAAGGTAGAGCATGAGTCTTGATGGGAGGTAGGTGCAGTAGCAAAGATAGTGAGTGTGAGGCATCGTACTTACACTGGCAGAATGGTGGCAGAGTGAAGAAGGTCATTGACCATTTTTTTACCACGCTGGCATTCCTCCAGACAACTGAGACCACACTGACCCATGTGGCAACCTCGATATAGACTGGGCATGGTCTGGTGTGGGGGCCTCCACTGCTGGTCCTGGGGGAGGAGGTATCCCACTTGTGTACCAGCCCCTCCAGGGCAGTGATTTCCTTCACCCTTCCATGCCAATGTATATTTCAGCAAGTGTACAAGGCAGCCGCAGATGGATAGTGCTTGTCTGGGTGCACAACGGCCTTTTAAGATAACACGGGTACAAGTGATGTTGTTGCATTTCAGATATCTGCCAGTAGTTTTGGGAATTGTGCTTGGTAAATCAGACATGAGAGATACCACAGGGGCAGAATAAGTAATTAATGAGGAGACAACAAGGTGCAGGGCTGGATGAACACAGCAGGCCAAGCAGCATCATAGGAGCAGAGAGGCTGACGTTTCGGGCCTAGACCCTTCATCAGAAAAGGGGGAGGGGAAGGGGGTTTTGAAATAAATAGGGAGAGAGTGGGAGGCGGATAGAAGAGGGATAGAGGAGAGGATAGGTGGAGAGGAAACAAACAGGTCGAAGAGGCGGGGATGGGGCCAGGAAAGGTGAGTGTAGGTAGGGAGTTAGGAAGGGGATAGGTCAGTCCAGGGAGGACGGACAGGTCAAGGGGGCGGGATGAGGTTGGTCGGTAGGAGATGGAGGTGCGGCTTGAGGTGGGAGGAGGGGATAGGTGGGAGGAAGAACAGGTTAGGGAGGCAGGGACGAGCTGGACTGGTTTTGGGATGCGGTAGGGGGAGGGGAGATTTTGAAACTTGTGAAATCCACATTGATACCATTGGGCTGCAGGGTTCCCAAGCGGAATATGAGTTGCTGTTCCTGCAACCTTCGGGTGGCATCGTTGTGGCACTGCAGGAGGCCCAGGATGGACATGTCGTCTGAGGAATGGGAGGGGGAGTTGAAATGGTT